GAGATTCCATGCATACAAAGCGTTTTTAATCTATACCCGCACACCTGGCGTTTTTCAGTTCTTGTATTCAGAGACAGTTTATACCATATAAAATAATTTTACCCCTTACCGGTAATACATCGCACATGGGTAAAACATTTTTGATTTTTTTACATCTTTAAAAGTTAAGTGCCATTAAATTTCGAATAACCTTTCAGGACAAAAGCTACAAAAATTGGATTTGATGTATACAACTTTGAATATAATAGCCTTTTTTTGTGTCAAATTTTACAGAGTGGATAAAGTCTTCATGTCGTAGAGGGCGCTGCTGAAACAGTTGGTCTTGTTAGCCCCAATCACAGTACAGGCTCATGGATTTAGTTCTGTGCATCTGTCACTGTTGCATTATAACTCTGAAATGCATTACTGTAAAATACTTTATTTTCGCTCAGAATTAATTTTATATAAAAATAAGAAAATAAAATCCAGCGAATATACTATTTTTCCTATATTTTACATTTAACTCGCCAAAAATCAGTGAAAATAATTTCCATACAAAACACCTAAAAAGTCTTCAGCGAAAATTGATTCCAGCTAAAATAAAGTATTTCACAGTATCTAATTTGAAAACATTTTTTTAGACAAATCGTTTAGTGCAGTGATTGTGCACATTTAAAAGAATTCCCAATGTCTATGCTTTGCATTGACCAATTTCATTCAAAAATGGAATATATAATAAGTATTATTAGACACCACTTCAAGGGATGTAGTTATTTGGTTCAAGCACATTGAAGGGTAAAAATCATCACTCTTGGCCAAAAAATAGGGCTGAAAATGATTTCTTTTTTCAACTTTGTCTCAAACGAGAGCTATGACACGCATCTTATTTTAAAATGTTTTATTCTGGGATTGGGGCAGCAAAAGAGGCAGAAACAGTATTCTGAAAACACTTTTAAAGGGCAGTGGTCGTCGCGCTACGCATGAACACAGATGGCGACTTTGACTGTTGTGCAGACCAATGAGTACAAACTAAGACATTACTGGTACGAAAATTTAACATGTAAATTTTCATGGTGATTGGAATGTATCGAAGATGTCACCGGCGGCAATTATTGCATGTTGTGCCAAGATCAAAACTCGTGATTTCCATTAAAAGAGCTCATGGGATTGTGGGAAAATCTATGTTTATCAACACAAATGTTGCACATGTGCGGCACGATGACCACCGCCCTTTAAACTAATTGTAATAATCCTCAAACTACACTATACATCAATGAAAGTTGATCCAATACAAAATGGATGGCTATCAGCCAATTTGTAAACATAGACATGGAGACACACGTGCATGTTATTCAATATATCACAGAAATGTAAAAAGCACATAAATGTTGACATAAGAGTGGGGGATCTTGCCAACTTTCATAACCCCCGAGAGCAGACAAAATATATTTTTTTTAAATCTTCATGTCAAAGGTCGCGAACATGCATAAAATAATATAATACTCAAATGCTTGGCTTTATTTTGGGGGTTTTGTGCATGTTCTTTAGGTGGATCAGTGTCCATCACTTTAGACCACAAAACTAGTCCTGAACTACCAATACCAAGCACTTCTGTTCTAAAGACTACCATGCTGGACACTCATCCTCATTTTACAGTAACTTTTCAAACACACTCGAATAAACTCAAGATTTTTACTATCGGTAATTTATTTTAATCCATCGTATAGGTTTATGATAATACATGTAACATGTAAATAGTTGAAAAAAAATGTCCAAAAATTAATTTTCCATGTGATGCTTGCATGAACATCCTAGCTCAGTATAGCATGGATTAAAAAATAAAAACACAAATAATTCAGTGCATTCAAAATATTAATGACAATTTTTTTTAAGCATGTTTCAAAAAATTGTTTACAGTGAAGAATATCGACCAAAGTATCCAAAATCTATAAGCATGGTGGATATACACAGATGTATACCTAATTGTTGAGTTTCAAACAATGGTTCCTTTACAGCATGATTTTTAAAAGTGGCTAATTTAATTGAAGCATGGGTGTCAACTCGTGAATTCTAATTTTAACAGTATAATAATGATTAATCATATTATACAAAACAAAACAAAAGTTTTGAGAAACTAGTCTCTTGGAAGTAATGTTTCACCTATGCTGTTGACTTTAAGCATCTCACAGAGTAGTTCATATTAGATATATATGTTCTATATTTAAAAATATTGATTCAAAATTAGCAAAAGCTTCCAAATGCAGTTTTCTTTACATGCTACATTTTTCAAGGTGATTGAGATTATTTTTCCATCTGGGTGATTTTGACCTGAATCTGGAGCGGATGATTACCGACCGATTTCATCCCTAGTTGTTGACATGCTTCATTGAGAGTCTGCCCGTCAATTGTACAGAGTTGATACGTACTATCCATGAATGTCTGTGGATCAACAGGCAAGCTTTCTGTACTGGTATGTTCAGTTTTTTTATGTCTCTCGAGCAACTTCGGCCTCATGAAACCCTTATTGCAGATGTCGCAACGGAACCTAAACTCACCAGTGTGCAGAACCAGATGATCTTTCAAATTGTCCTTTCGGAAAAATCCTTTCTGACAGAATTCACATTTGAAAGGCTCGTATGTCAGGTGAGTTCGTTGGTGGTCTGTCAATTTGTCTTTCCTCGCAAAAGCCTTGTTACAACCTGGGTCGGAGCAGGTGAATGGTTTCACTCCAGAATGCACTGTCATTTTGTGGCGGTGCAATTTGTTGCGGAAACTAAACCCCTTACCACAAAGATTACACTGGAATGGTTTTACGTTGCTGTGGGTTACGCTGTGACGTTGCAAATCACGAGGAGTTTTGAAATCTTGGCCACATTTCTCACACAGATATTGTCGTTCAGTTTGATGTGTAATCATGTGTATTCTCAACTGTCGCTTGCTCACGTGAATCTTACCACATTCTGGACAAGGGTAATTGTGTGATTCTCGGGCAAGGTGTTTATCCAACCCAGCCTGACTGGGAAACTTCACCCAGCATTTCATGCATTTAAAGCTCATCTGTTGGTAGTACATTCTCATTTTTTCTTTCTTGAGTGCAGCTTTATAATTTGGATCCACACTTTCTTTCTTTAAACACGTTTTACAACTACACCTAAACATAAAACTATCTGCATGGGAGGTGCTGACATGCTGACAAAATTCTTTGAAGTCTAGAAAGACACGTTTACATGTCATGTCACGACACTGGAACTGCTTCACCATCTGATGCTTCTCCCACATATGCTTTGGAAGTTCACTTCTCTCATGATAATTATCACATTCTTTACATTTTAGTTTACCAGCTTTTGACAGTTTGTCATTTGATTCTTGAACTGGATCAACCATTTCAACGCTTGGCATGTCTCCTTGCACTACACCCTCTGCTGGCTGCAACGTTGGCTCTGAACTCAAGACTGCTTTACCTAGTAATGAATTTAGAATGTTTGGTTGCTTGCCACCAGCAGCTTCTGGACACATCTGAGCCAGAGACTCTGCAGCTTGCATGGTCCTTAGGTGCTCAAAACCCATAGAGGAAAAATCCACCGAACTTGGAAGACTAGACCCCGATTGTGGATTCATTTCCAGCTGACTAACAACATTAGACGTTGAGGCATTAGGTAATAATGTACCTACCGGTATCATGTTTTGGTTGGGAATACCTGAAGGAAGTGCTTCTATATTATCACTACATGCAACACTCGGGAACTCATCTTGGAAAGTCACTGGAACCCAGGATTTGTGAAATTCAATATGAGCTTCATAATCATTTTCTTTCAGTGCATTGTGTTTGCAAAGTTCACAAAAAAATGCAGCTATTGACTTGGCATGTAAACGTTTGTGTTTAACAATGCCCCTCTTGAGAACCTGTTGACCACACTCATCGCATGTGACCTTTCGGTTCCGGTACGGTCGTCTCATTTCTTTTCCATGTACTGCTGACATGTGGTCTGCCAAAAGGCTTTTGGATGGGAAGCTGACTTCACACTGATCACACTGAAAGTTATCTTTAACTCTCTTGTGACTGCTGAGATGTTCTCTCAGTTCGTTCATATCTAAAGCCTCAAAGTTACAAGTAGCGCACTTATACGTACTTTCCTCCATGTCTTCACTTTCATCGACATCCTCCTCCAATTCAGGATCCTCTTCCCCTTTGTATGCTTCCTCTCTGTCTTTCTTATTTAAATGCTTCTGGGTTTTTCGGTGCTTGTTCAACTTGGTGCCAGTTTGAAAAGACATGTTACACAGCCGACAAAAATGTGAAGAAGTCTTCTGTGTTGCTCTTGCAGCTAACAGAGCTCTCCTAGTTGCCATTTTAGTTTTATTAATTTCTCGTCGCTTTTCTGTTGTCAGAAGAATAGCCCTAGATGTAGCTATATTATGTACCTTTACATAATGAGAGGGTAAGTTGTCAATACAATTTATTTTCTGATCACAGAAAGCACATTCCACAGTTGACTGGACCACTCCCCCATGTTCTTGAAATAAATCATCAGTTTCTATCCCACTTGCAATGCTAGCTGCTAGGATAATATCAGTTGTCTCATTGCCCTGTCTGGATGTATTCCCCATATCTTTATTATTATTTGAGGGATTAGAGGCTGATTTCACAGTACATCTTTCAGTATCCAGGACCGGATCAACAATCTGGGTAAAGACTCTATTTGCCTCATAACCTGGCTGAAATGCCTCAGTTTCAAGGTTTTCTACATCTGTTGGCTCCGTTGCACCCTTTGAAACACTGCTATCAGTACCAGTCACAGGTATATTGGAAGGGGTAGAAGAAAAAAAGTTCTGAATGTCTGTACTGCTTACCAGTGGTAGAACATGCTCATTTGTTTGATGTTGGGTAATAAATGACCCAACTTTACTATTATCATTGGATTCTGTGATGGTAGGAATCTTGGTCTTATAGCAGACTTTACTCTTCTTATGAACCATGAATATTTCCATTGATGTGAAGCGTTGCTTACATCGTCCACACTCAAAAACATCATCATCTGCAATATTATAGATATATAGTAATAAGTAGACAATACAAAATAAACATTCACAACAACTTGAACAAAAATAATAGACTTATTTTTACTTGTGTAGATATATTCTTGTCAATGTGGCAGAGTGCATGTAGACGTATTCTGGTGAATTTGAATGACTGCTACAATAACATGATCTATACATATTTGAAATATGCCATCTTTTATTGCTGTATTTTAGTAAAATTTATGATATATTCATGATTTTTGAGATAAACTATACCAGCGGTTAGTTATTGTATTCGGTTTGGTCTTCTTACCCGATGAGTTAATGTTACAGCCATCTTTATTTTCAGCCATATTGCCTTAATACTTTCACCTCTTTCTATCACAATCGACGACCTAAAAGGAATAAACAAAATATATTTCCTAAAAATTGTCAAAGAAATTTTTGTGATTTCATGATTTCTCAAAAGTCTTACATACAAAATTTTGAATTTCAGTGACTCTTGAAATTTGTGAAAATTTGTCTCTACTGAAAATAAAATATTACCACTGTACATATCTATTGCTCAATACTCAAGCAGGAATGTTTGCTTAAAAATTGTTGTTTTAAAGTTTTTTTAAGTTGATGGTCTTTATTTCACTTTCCATATCATCGTGGATGAAGTTCAAGGTATACAAGAGAAAAATGTCTGTTCTTGTTAGTTTGTATCCATCCATCCATTTTTTATTTAATCTGGATTTACAATTGGCAAGGTTATGCTATATTTTTATAACTGAAATTACTTTTGGATCAGCAAAAAATATTTCTAAACATACTTATGGAGAAGTGTTCTTGATGTATGAATGGTAGAAAAACAGATTATTGTAACTAGAATCGTTGTTAAAATGTGCAATGAAAACCTCACCATATGGATGATATATATTAACACTGTGAACGTATGTGTGCTATGTTAGCTATCAATTTTTATCACTGAATGCCATCATAATTTTTTACTTCAAAATTTGTATTTTTCTATAATTTCCTAGTTAATTTTAGACTAAATGAACAACATTTACCATTAACTACAAATCCTGATCAAAATGTTTGTGAAAATATAGACAAACTTATGCAGGTTTACTCTCTCCTCTCTTGTTTCACATAATCCCAAAAATATGAACATTCAAAAAAATTAAACATCCTAAATTTATAAACATTTGAAAAACATTCCAAATTCTAATTAGGTAATTCTAAAAATACGATTTTTGTTAAATTAATACCACGTCAGAAATCGTATACAATTATTATTTACGGCATTTAAATTATAAACTACTAGTATTTTAAATTAAACTAAATTAAATTAAATTTTAAATTAAACAATGTGACGTGAACATCTAATTAAATTGGAGGAAATAAATGACAAACTTCCAATGATCGAAGGTGAAAAAAAACATTGTACAATTTAAATTACGACATGGAACTATTAACTAGTAAAGTACATGCGATTTGAATACACTGCAAATGTGTCTTTCATGCGTACAGGCCACATGAACACGACTACAGTTCTTCTCTGGAGATTCGAGCCGCCTCACCGGGGGAGACATCCCACAGTACCGAGAGTGTTCCAATTTCATC